GGAGTTAGAACATTATTTGTGAAGCAATTGAAAATGTCCAATTTTGCAGCGAAATGTGTCATGGTGAGTTTCTCTTGCAAAAACAAGCTTTATAAAACACATTAACCCCACAATCCTATTGTACTACACCGCACTGTAATAATCCATCTATATTTACTGTATATTTACTGTATACTTACTGAAATGCATAATGTACTGTACTTTTCTGTCAGCAAGCAGTGTATCGGCGTGCTAGTATAGCGAACACGCTTCATAACAAAGGGTAACACGCTCAAACTCACGGAGAATCTCTCCTAAAGTCTTCCCAGACGCGCGCTCAGTCCTCTCCACGGCGCGCTGACCGTTCTTCATCGTATATAACTTGTAATTTGATAATCATAGACTAATATGATACGAGTAGCGTTCGCTACATCTCTTCCGTGCGGAGAAAAGCCTGCAATTCTCGCGTGTTTGAACTACAACGGCCAGAGAGCACTGGCTGTCCGACCGGATGGCGACCCCCCTTTCTCTGCCCACTGTGGTGACGCGGCGGTGTCAGAGTTCACAGAGTCTGTAATGGCCGATCTGAGTGACGTGTAATCTGACCAATTGGAGCCCAGAACTGGCCTCAGAGCTACATAACATCAGAAGAGCTGAATGCGCGCTGGCATGCCATGGAGAGCCTGTGAGACGCTGACGCGCTGGGTTCCGTTACCTGGGCAGACCGCGAATATCTCACCAATGGAAGCACGCAGAAACCTGAAAATGGTCTTGTTTGAAAGAAGAGATCCTAAGCTAAAAGATAATATAGATTATATAGCTAATTATAGATATTTGTGGCTGTTTGCGGCTAACTGAAGCAGTGCTACGAGTAGAAATGTTACACAATAAAAAATTCCGTCTTTTTTTTTTTACATCGCGATTCAGTTGAAGATAATTCGATCTATGATTGTCACACAATTAAATCTACATCGTCAAATTCCTGAGAATGAGAGCTTTCTTGTGATATATGACTTGACTTTATTGTGAAAAATATATCAAATACACATTCTTTGTAAAAAAAGTTTGCAATGGCTAGGCGGAAAATCGTGTGTGGGACGAATACATTTCTAAGCTTAATTTTACTGCTTTATGAATATTAAAAACCAAAAGGAATGGTATTCTTTGTAAAGAAGACACTCCAAGCTTTCAAATGAGCCCATATATGGGCTGATACCATATAAGGAAGGCTATGCAAATGAAGCATAAACATTTTTTACGCGATTTGGACCCGTATCCGGGTCCGCAGAGTTTATTAGCATGCCTATTATTAACATATTGGCTGTTTATTAGTACTTATAAGCATTTATTCTGCATGATCATATTCTACATCCCTAATTGCTTACTAACTATTAATAAGCAGCAAATTAGGAGTTTGAGGCAAAAGTCGTAGTTAATGGTTTGTTAACAGCGAGAATTGGACCTTAAAATAAAATGTGACATTCTAATTAACTAGTTATTCACATCTTTCAGTTTCATGCATTGTCTATCAAATATCTAAACTTAAACATTTAATAACAACATTTACATGTCCATCATTTGTTTCATGTTTTTCTCCACTGCTATATCATCCTAATTTTGTGATAATGAGGCATAAGAAACACCACAATACACTGAATTACAGTAGATGTAATAAAAATATGAATAACAACTTCCAAATCGTTAAATAACAGAAAATGTTTACATTTCATAATAGCCCTTAATTGGAAGAAGCCAATGTTCCTAATTCTGTCTCATTTACGTTTCTAAAGACTTGTCTGAAATCGTGGATATGGAGGAGGACTCGCCTGCTAAAAAGCGTCGCTATGAGAGCAGAGAGGAGGGAGGTGCACCATGTTCCAGTTGTGTGTCTATAAAGACTACAAATTCAATGGATCCACCCAATAATTTCAGAACTGGAGCTGTGAATCCTGAAGCCATGTGAGATTATTTTTCCAGTATTGAAGACAAGAACCTGAGACATCAGATAGGCATAAGAAACAATACGATTGCTTGTCTGATCTCTGGATCTCTAGGAGAAAAAAAGGATGCCAATTTTTTCTGTTTTTATTCCAAGTGTTTCTTCTGGTAGTTTATTTAAAAAAAAAAAAACACTTACATTAAGTCTTCTGTTAGAACCGTAGCTGTTTAAATAAAAATTTTGCAGTCATATTTGTATGCCTATGTAAAGTTGACTTTTTTTTTGTACTGTGTCTTATGTTTTCAGAAAAGCATCTGAAATCATGGATATGGAGCATAACTCTCCTGCTAAAGAGCGTCGCTATGATAGGTGAGAGAAGACAATTAATTTATTGGATTCACCAACTAATTTCAGAACTGGAGCTGTGAATCCTGAAGCCACGTGAGATTCTTTTTTTCAGTAGTTTCTCTGTACCTCTAAGAGAAAAAGAGGAGTTTTTGTTTTTTTGTTCCAAAACAGTTGCAACTGAGTGGATATCTGTTACAAACATGCAATATTAGGTATATAAATATTTATTATAATAAAAGATTCTATCTAAGGCCATGCACAAGCATAGATAGATCCCAAGTGTTACTCAAGCACCTTTTTAGTTTGGCCTTTGACTAGATACGTACCCTTTTTACAAATGTAACCTCCAGATGGCACAGCCTTCACAATGAGTGACACAGTTAAAGCCAACACATTTAACACACTCAAATCGAGCAGCATCCTCATCTTCCTGATCGGTTTTTATTGGTGACAGCCAGATAGCAATGTGTTTGTCACTGCTATGAAATTAAATCAATAAAAAAAACTGCCAGCCTATTTTAGGCATGTAGCATCTCGACCAATCTGACACACTAATTTTTATTTGATTTAACAAATCAATTATTCATTAGATTAACAAGTCGTCACAGTCCCCTCACTCAATATACTGGATGCCAGGATTTCGGCTGAACACCATCCCCCACCTTGGTCACTATGACAACTAATCATGATATCACTGGTTTTATGGCCTAAAAGGAATGCAGGGGATAAACTCCCTCATTTTCCTCATAAGAAAGGCACAAATGCACAGGAGAAACTGACTTTTCTACTAATTAATTCATAGGAAAACCTTCTTTGAATGAACACCCATTTTCTTCAGGCCATTGTGTATATTATTACTGTGTTGTATTTAATCTGTTGTATTATAGACTATTTTTATTCATGCTTACGATAAACCACTCATTCATATAAGTAACTCTACCATGTCTAGTATCTATGAATTCGCCTTCTGATGATCTAAACAAGA